AGTGGGGATACTTTAAACAATTTGCTGTTATTTGTTCCTACAGAAGTTGCTTGGTTTAGAATATTAAGCCCCAAAAATAATTTAATTTAATAGATTGGCAGAACAGTAGATTTAGTTCGGTTACAATCTTGACCAGTTATCCTGATGGGCGTTTTTGGTGTTTTATCTCAGTCCTTCTAATCAATGAAATTCGGGATTAGCCCTGTGACGTAGCCTGCGGTCTCTTTCTTCCCAGTCTCTGAATCATTTGATACTTTCTTACTTACTCATGGAGCTGTGCCCTTCTTGAGGAGAAGCCAAATCTGCAGCTACTCAAGAATTTCCCAGCATTTTATGGAACCAGAAAATTCATTACCGTGTTCACAAGAGCCCTCTACTGGTCCCTATCCTGAGCCAGATCAATCCAATCCATACCATCCCATCCTGTCTCTCTAAGATCCGTTTTAATATTATCCATTCACGTAGCCTCGGTTTCCCAGTGATCTCTTTCCTTCCGGCTTCCCCACCAGTATCCTATACGCATTCATTTTCTCCTCCATTCGTGCTACATGCCCTGCCCACCTCACCATACTTGACTTGATCGTTCTAATTATACTTGGAGAAGACTTGATACTAAATAATATAATTAATTAATAGGATTTTCTTAAGTAACTCACAGACAATCCTAAACCATTCGAGCGTCCTCGTGGTTTTAGAAATTCCTATATCGGGTTTACTGGAGATTAGCAGCGAATTTGACGTGGAACTAAAATGGAATTCATTACTAATTTTAAAACTTTGTCCGAAATCGGCAAATGCAGTGTGGTGGGGTCGAGCTCTCAATTTTGATGGATGTTCTGTTGGGTGGGGCGGGCCAGCGTACCTCGCCCCCAGCGCGCCGTCTTCCGCCCATCCATCACGAACGTACACAGGTTCCCGAGAGGCACCGCCACGGCACAGCCAGCATGCAGATAGCGTCCACAGCGCCCGAACAAGCAAAACATTCCCTGTCTAACTTTGAAATTAAGGGCGGACATTTAATATTTTTGTAGCATAACTTAAATCTGAGACCTTCTCGTACAAAAACATGCTTTGTGGCATGCAGCATATCTGTGTTTACAGCGCTGAAGAAGCTGCCTGCAGCCTAACATAATTCATATGAAACACTTTGAAACCTGGAATTCATCTGAATATCGATTTAAAATTTCAGATGTACCTCACAGGAAACACAGCGCCCACATCACAAAGACCACTGTTTATTCAGAGAATCATACGAAATACATAAATGCATTGTGTGGGGAAAATGAATAGTTTTCTAATATTAAAACAGGCGGTACACTTACGTATAGTAATCGTATTCCTTCATGGGGTTAAAATTTTAATGTGCCCAGATACTTTAAATTCATACAAATATATAAAATTATCATAAAAGTTTGTAGGCTATAGGGAGGCATATTACATATTCTGGCCTATACGCAAGATGAGTTATATTATTTTATTAGATAACCTTTCCAGATTGCAAAATAGCTAATTATACACGGACAGACAGACGTCACAGAGTCATCAAGGTATGCTAACGGATCAACAAGCTTTTGTGACACTACACTGAACAGAGTTTGGTGGGGACGTCACTCAAAGTACTCACTGGAATGTTTCGTGCGGTTGTGGTTTTATTAAGCAGTTTTCACTTTTAGCGTGTCCACACAGTTAAGTATTGAGAAGAAGCCTCCCCTTGTTCTCAAGTAAGTACCGTGTCTTTTGCTTCTGTGCGGTAAGCATGCTGACCTTGTCACTTGCCCAGATTGGTTTAGATATCGGCCGATATATCACATCGAACCAGCTTGATAACGGGATTTTGTAATTATGGAGATGAACCTTATAGTCTTATTGAAGATCCTGCTGGATGCAGAGTTACACATTTTAAGCTGTAATAAATTAAAGACGTGTAATTTCAGGTACTAATGTCTATTACGAATTCAGTCGCAAAACTTCTGCTATTATTCAATTAAGTTTTCCTGTCAAGTAATATCATTTCTTTATGAATTAATGATCTTATTGAAAATCCTGCAGGCTATGGAGTGAAGTTACTTATATTTTAATGGAAATAAATTACAGCTATGTAATTTAAGATATTAATGTCTGTTACAAATTCAGTCTCAAATATTTTGCTGTTATTCAATTAAATATTCTTTGTAAATATATATATTTTCATTATGATCACTGAGTAAGTATTTTTGTGGTGTGTGCTATATATTAACAATTAAAACTAACTGCGAATTTAACATCCCCACAAAAAATTAACCATATTATGTCTTGCTGTTGGAAAGATAATTTATTTTATCTCTCCACATAAACACTTCGCTTTCGTAAATAAGCCGGCAGGCACTCTTTATCGGCCGATATTACAACTAACTTAATATTTGTAGATCAGTATTCTAGCAGTTTACCATACGGGACAACTTTTGTAGTAATATTACTTTCACAATTCCCACATTTATTATTAATACGTATGTAATGCATGGTTCTAATTTTCTTTTTATAGAATGGTGTTCTTTGTACCTCACATGCTCATTGTTGTTGTATTAATAGCACAAAGTGTTACGTGTCTAACAGATCGTGTTCCACGCAGCAGTTACAGGATTTTGGACTGCAAAATGCGTAGAAAATTAGCGCTTTCAACGAGAGACAAAAGACTTCGTGTCAGTATTACGGTCTTCCGGGATCTGACACCTTGTAGTTTGATAAATAGGTAGCAAAATTTCAGAGAGACGTGCTCCTTCCTTCTTCAGTAACCCCCACCTCTTGTACCAAAAAGATAAATCTGTCGCGGTTTCTTCGAAGCATGGGCACCTATATTCCAAACTACACGTTTTCACGTCCCAGAAGACCGTTATGCTTAAATTTTTATCTTAAAATTTTCGCGAAAGATTACGTATTTCTGTCCTTATGAACCGATAGATTTTCTTAGGACAGTCTGGGTCTACATTACCCACAAGAATAGTTTTTTTAGATTTATCCGCATGAATTCGAATTAAATTTCTGTACAGATCACGCTCTCCTGTGATGTGACGCCGTGTAGCTCATTAAATAGGTGCCAATGTTTCGGAGGGATTTTCTCTTTCTCTCTTCGCTGTTCTGCTCTGAACATGAAGGCTATAGGCTACTCCGGAATGCTAGTATCCACCTACCAAACTACACTACGTGACCTCCCAGGAGGTAAATCTCCTGAAACACTCTCCAGAAAACCTCGAATTTCGCTACCCGTGGTAGGTATATTATTATTATTAGTGGGGCGAGACTGAGTCCACGTGGTACTGCAGCCACTACCATTGTACGAGCCCAAGATGATAGATGATGGTGATTGTGGAGCAGTTGGTGGAATGAAGATTGGCAGGGGAAATCGAAGTACTCTGAGAAACTTGCCCCAGCGCCATTTTGTCCACCAAAAATCCCAGATGACCAGACCCGGACTCGAACCCAGGTCACTGCGGTGGGAATCCAGCAACTAACTTACGGCGCGGCCTAGCCGTATTAAGTAACACAAGTATAAATGTTCGGAACACATTCAAGTGATTTCAGCAGTAAATAATATAAAGCCCACATGCATATATGTATTATGTACAGTGCTTCTAAATGCATTATATTGAAATTGAAAACATATATTGCATGTAACCTGTAATTTGAACTCTAAAATTAATATAATCAGCTGTTTCACATTTTGAATTTTTTTATAATAACTAGTGTGTAATTATACAACTCGTTAAGAGACGATTAAATCAGTTTAATGCATGACATTGTATATGTGATGGTGAGCTGGTGGTTTCAGTTTGATGTGCATGGAATCTTAACTTTAATTTAAACAAACTTCAGTTTTGTGCTTTTATGTTTGTGGAATTCTTTGGTAGCAGTGTCTTTGTGTAATTGAACTTTTAGCGTCCCGTAGTGAATGCCTGAAGTAAAATGTCGTTTTCATAGTGTGAAGATGTTCATGTGATGTTGACACTAAATTTTGTTTTCTGTATGGTGCCTACACGTTTTCCTTGTTTTTGTTTCTTTCTGGGTTCTGGAGAGAATGTCTTTAGCATGCCGTAATGAATCCGCTTACAAAATGCAAGCCACGTTCTTTGTGCGTCCTCTAAGCGGATTGTACTTACTTTGTGAAAGCATTAGAATAACAATCACACTCAGTAGTTGGTATGTTCTGCTCTCTGTTCCCATATATGCAATATGTATATGGTGTGCTTTTATTTTTGTCAAAGCAAAAGGCACGGTCAACACTAAACACACACACACTCGCCATGAAGTGAGTTACTCACTGCGGTTCGACGTTTCGGGCGTGGTGGCTGCTGTTGCTGCTGCTGCTGTATGGACACACGGATGAACATTTGGGCGTGGTGATGGTTACGGTGGGGGGTTGTAACGTGTGGCCTGGGACCGTACAAAGCACCTTCCTCTAACCTTGTGAATGCCCTGTTTGAGTCCCCTAGAACACAAAATACGTAACTCCGTATCACTAACAGCAATAACAATTGCAGTCAGAAATTGTAGGACACTATTACCACAACAATAACAATAAATGCCTTCCTTCCAAAGTTACATTTACTTCATAACAAGATCAATATATTGTGTTTATTATTTTATAGTAACAAATCGCTGAAATCTAAATTTTTCCTTGCTTCAATAAACGCCATTTTGGTTGGTCATTTTTAAGCAGATGGAGAGTGAAGCTGTCTGCTTACTTCCATCTAGCCCCTAACTTAAATTCTTGGTAATTTACCCACAAACCCTATGTGTATTCAAGGCGTGGTGCTCGAAAGCGCCATTCACACCATTTCGTTTCCAAATATCATGCATTTCAATTTGAATGTGGTACATCTGTGGTACATTACTTTTTCTGATTTGGAACGGGAACTAATTTGGGGGTAGAACGAAAAAAGAACTTTGCTGGTGAGGAACTAGAGTCGCGATAGACTCATTTTTCTCTGACCGTTTTCTTGGCTTCTCGGTGCGTCCATTCGCAGGGTTCCCTGGCTACAGTTACTTACCCAATCCTACGGCCGCAGCCGCTCCAACCTCGGCTACTCCGGCCGCCAGTGGCCCTGAACGTGACAGCACTTACTACGACTACGCCGCTGCGGTCCACCAACAGCAGCAACAGCAGCAGCCTCCGGCAACAGCTCGGCCGGAGCAGACAGTACACAACTCCCCTCTGCATAGACACCACTCTGATCCTAACGTCACTGTATACCGCAACGCAAACACAGCCATGCAACGCAAGCAGTGCAGTGCTCAGCCTCCACCGCGAAGTAACCAGCATCAACAAATGCTGTTGCATTCGGACCTGTACACCTCGGGAGGAGAAGATCACGGGGTCAAAGCGTATGTTACAGGTATGTCACGGGGCTGTCCGTCAAATGTCATTATTGCTTTCCCATGTCGTTGCCTGTGTCACTGGATCGAAAGCTGCACATTTCTCCACATCGCATATGTATCGTTAACATGTCCCTCGTAGTCCATTGACACGGCTTCGTGAGCATAAAATCGGCACAAGCTTCAGTTACGCTCCAGAAAACTTGGTAGACACATTACAATTGAATCTGTCACAGCAAGCGCAATTTAAAATAAACCCTTTAGATTTTAGGTATCTAAACTTCATCCCCTAAAAATATATCTTTAATACACCGAGTTAAGGGAGGAACATGGACTGAGGGTGTCTGATAACAGGGGTTTGAGGAGAATATTTGAATCGAAGAGAGATGAAGTGACAGGAGGTTCGAGAAAACTGCATAATGAGGAGCTTCATAACTTGTACTCTTCTCCAAGTATAATTAGAATGATCAAGTCAAGGAGGATGAGGGGGGCAGGGCATGTAGCACGAATGGGAGAGAAGAGAAATGCATATAGGATATTGGTGGGGAAGCCAGAAGGAAGGAGGCCACTGGGAAGACCAAGACGTAGGTGGGTGGACAATATTAAAATGGATCTTAGAAAGATAGGGTGAGATGGCATGGAATGGATTAACCTTCGGGTTCCATAAAATGCTGGGAAATTCTTGAGTAGCTGCAGAATTGGCGGCTCCTCAAGGACTCAGCTCCATGAGTAAGTAAGTTAATACACGGAGTGTGCGATAACTCAGAATGTGAGGTTAGCACGGCGGTTCACATGAACTGTGACTTTTTTTTAGTTTCTCATCGTCTCGGAATAATAAAATTTGCCGACGGTTTCGAGATAAATCGCCATAAAAATGAAAATATTAGTATGGCAGCGACTTTGGTTGTGGTGAGTGCTTGGAATGGTTGTCATTCGATTTCACAAGATGTCATAATTATTCGGAATGTCCATATGGCCCCTATATTTTTTTACGTGATAGCAGATAATTAACTGCCTAGTCGATAGAGCCATGTTTGTGAAAATTTTCACTAATTTATGTACAGTTCTTTCTTTGGATTTGAAGTAAAACTGCGGTCACTTCCTCTTGAACGTTTATTATTATTGCTAACCTGAAAAAGAATAAAAGTTACTGTTATATCAGCACATTAGTTATGGACTTTATGAACACATTGCAATACACTTTTACCATTGTGACCAGCATTCCGCACCAACAGTAATTTATGATATTACGTCATATTTCTGTACACATCCGAAACATTACTTTATGTCGCTTTCGGAAGAAGCAGCAAGTTCTTCCGAAACGTCCGTAATTTTTACCATCTCGATAAAGTGAGCTTCTGAAATATATCTAAAAACTTCCTGTTGGCGCTGTTGAGTGATGATTCCGAATATATTCCTAAGACATGTTTGAAGCACCAACAGCCTGTCATTTAAAACTGAAGTAAAGAATATGTATTATTTTTTTAATTCTAGTGGGGTGGGACTAAGTCCCTTGTACTGCGGCCACTTCTGGCCTATTGTACCAGCCCCAGATGATAGGTGAGGGTGATAGTGGAGCAATTGGTGGAATGAAGATTGGCAGGGGAAGCCGAAGTACTCGGAGAAAACATGCCCCAGCGCCCCTTTGTTCACCACAAATCCCACTTGACCAGATCCGCGATCGAACCAGGGTCGCCGCGGTGGGAAGCCAGCGACTAACCGCTTGAGCTGTGGCGCGGCCTGATAAAGGATATGTAAGTACCGGATACTGTTGCAATGGAAGCTCCCCTGTTTGGTAGCGCCAGTTACTTAAGCCAGGTCATGTGCATCTGATCGCGCGAAAGTGTTCCAGAACGGAGTATTGTTCTCATACTTTAATTTGTTACATGAAAATACAAAGTGATTTTAAATCAAGCTGGTAAACACAGCTGGAGAAGAGCGGTTCCGTTTTTTTTTTATGGGCGGAATTTAATTTTATACACTCACAAGAAACAGAAACTTCAGAAAATAGCGTCACTTCCATAATTAAACCTTTCTCCGCCTCTCGCTCCAACTTTGGAGCATAGGGTTGATTTCTCAGTTTCATTTATTATTTTTACATATGATAGTACTCCTTGGACTGGTGACCAGCTCGTCGCAAGGCCTCTACCTAAACACAGAGTAAACGTATACACACACCAAACATCGCGGCTTTCGAGCGAGCGAAAACAATACATGCCTTAGACTGATAACCCTATGATGCGACTAGTCGCGAGCGCCTAGCCACTCTTTGTCGCGCGCGTCCGTAAGTTAAATTAGTGTATATGGTGCATAACCCACTAACGCGGCGCAGCTTCCAAGTCACTCGCGGCCAATTATTCAACCTCTGTTCAAGACCGCTCAGCTACCGTGACCGGCAGATAAACCTCACGAGCCTGAAATTCACCCAGTGTCGAGGTCAAGAATGGTGAGCTATACCTCCACTCTCCCTATACGTCTGCACGGCGTGGTGATTAATTCATTGAAGCAAGGTACAACTTTGCGTTATTTTCTACATGACGTGAAACAGGCCGCTTTTCCATTACACACACGCGAAATTTTTGAAGCTGTTAATTCTGAAAATCATACGAATGCCTCCCCCCTTCTCCATAATACGTTTATATATACTTTGAGGGGGGGTAAGTGGAAAGTATTCTAGTATTAAGGCACGTGACAAAAGTAGAAACTACATGCTATAATGTTTCAGAGGGCTAAATGCAATATTGTATATTTAAGGGAACAGTTACCTTTATCGTGATTCTTCAAAACATCATTCAAAATTACTGTTCTGACGGAGAATGAGCCCTAGGCATCAACTTTCCTGACGTTATTCGGAAAGGCTTCTGTATATAACTCAGCATTCCTAATCACAGACAACAGTAAGTTCCCGACGACCGAGCCAAGCGGGAAGTATCACGCTGTTTCGTGCTGACTGGGGCTGTAAGTTTGAACGGCATGTTGAAGTCATTCTCTCTGGTTCTATTGCTTAATAACTCAAGACGGCAAACATGAATTCCAGTGCCGTATAGTAATTACAGATGTCTGATAGGCTCGTTCTTTTGCTTCAGATGCAAATCTACTGTTGCAAAACCACTCACACCACACGTTTAATTGAATAAAAGGTAAAGTTGTCCCTGTGCTTAACTAATTAAGCAGTACGCCATGAAGACGCATGGGGGAGTGGGTGTATAGATCCACGTTTTCTTGATTTCGGCACTAGTTTTATTGAATGGCTTCGTAAATGATGCCCCGAGTATTACATAATAATTTTAATTTATGTGGTTGCTGTATGTAACATCTGATCTAATATTGAGAGCTTTGATTTTTTCCCCACAAAATATATATGGTTTGGTTCCTTCTCGCGGTAAACGATTATGTCCTTAAAAGCATTAATCGGTTAGTCTTTGTAACGGAGATGCAGTGTATTTTCTGTGGGGTATGGAATGAATTTTTATATATCATTAAGACGAGTTTCACTAAAGGAACACCATAGATATGCACTGTTGTATTTGTAGTATATAAAACTCCGTGGCTTTAGTCCTCGAACTATACCGACTGAACGACCGCCGCTTGCCTGCGAAGTTAGCGCCAACTTTATCGGATAGAGGGTGTCGCGTGGTCAGCGTAACGAATTCTCACGGCCGTTAATTTCGGTTTTCTAAACCGGAGCCGCTATTTCTTTGAAATAGCTCCTCAGTTATCCCTACGAGGCTGAGTGGACCCCGTTCCAGACCCACTACTTCTCAGACAATCTCCAGCGCCGGGAATCGAACTCCGGAGCTCTGGTTCTGTAGCCAGAAACTCTGACCACTAGACCACAGAGGCGATCTATTCTTAATATCATCATCATCATCAGTAATCTGTCAAGACGACAGGTCCACAGTCTCTTTCAAAACAATTCCTCCACTTCATGCGATCTAGAGCTTTCTCCTT